GCTGCAATGAAAAATAATTTTTTTAGAATGTTTCGAAATTTTTTAATTTTGATGAAAAATTTGGACACATTCTCGAATTTTTTTCTCGAAAATGCGTAAGATTTCGAGGGTATGTCTATTGACCAAAAATAATTGTAATTGATCCCGGCATCTGAAAATAATTTTTTCAGATCGATTTGAAATTTTTTTTGTTTTCGAAAAATTTAGGTACCTTCTCGAATTTTTTTCTCGAAAATGGGTAGGATTTTGAGGATATGTCTAATGACCAAAAATGATTGTAATTGATCCCCGCATTCGAAAATAATTTTTCCGGAACGATTTAAAATTCTTTTATTTTTCGAAAAATTTGTCTAACTAGTCGAATTTTTTTCTCAAAAGTGCGTAAGATTTTGGGGTTATGTCTATTGACCAAAAATAATTGTAATTGATCCCCGGATCCGAAAATAATTTTTTCAGATCGATTTGAAATTTTTTTTTGTTTTCGAAAAATTTAGGCACCTTCACGAATTTCTTTCTCGAAAGTGGGTAGGATTTTGAGAATATGTCTAATGACCAAAAATGATTGTAATTGACCCTCGCACACGAAAATAATTTTTTGGGAACGATTTGAAATTTTTTTTTTCGCCTTAGAAAGAAGAAATCGACTCGACACGGTTTTGGACGAAGTTGGAGAAGTTGTAGAATACCCATGGGGTTTCAAAATGGCGAAATCGGGAGTGCAGTACGCCCCAGGAGGATCCTGCATTAATATCTGCCGTCTCTTAGAACGCGGTAATGGGGCTTTATGACCGCGAGGAGCGTCGGTTTCGCGGTGCAAATTGCACGTTGCATCGATTTACGAGGCGAACAGTAATTTCCACCATCTTGTACGCGTCTAGCAGGCCTGTACCCTAGCCGGCTCGAACGAGTATACGAAGCGTGTTCCGGTGTTCGGGCCAGCGCGCTAGAAAATTGTCCCGCCCCGCGGAATTATGCTTCCCGTATGGCTGGAAACGGCCACGGTGAAAAGGAATCACGCACGAATTGCCCTATGTACATTAATGGCACGCGCGGAATTTGCAATCATGATGTCTTCGTGACGCGATACGTCCCACGGGGCGGTCCGTTTCCTGCGATACCGCGAGAGCATGATCCACGCGGGTCCATTAGGGGAATCCCGATTAAAAAAAACCCTTCCTCCTCCGATCGTTCTTTATCGAACGTTATCGATGTCATTTAAGTCATCTGTCGTCTGAAATTCCTGGAACTACCTGGCCCCAAAGTGCTCTCGATCGAGAAATTTAGTATCGTTTTAGCGTAACTTACGAACGTGGCTCCAACTGTTCACTTTTACGTAAGTATATTATTCGATAAACTGTTTTTCTCTTTCTACCTTAATGTTGACTCTTCGACTCTGTTATGGTGTTTAAACACTGTTATTTTGTACTTGGTAGAAGGCTTGTTGCACCACTTTTTCCGTCTCCAACGCGAGACACGCGATCCCCGTATGTCATTCGATGATTTTCCCCGCCATTTTGCAGTAATTTCAACGTGACAGGTTCTCGTCGTTCCTACTTAAATGTTTGCTCGAAAGTATCGATCGTAATGGGCCACGATCTATGCAATCTCAGTTGCTCTTTTCCTCCGCCATTTTGGTCGATGCAAGAAGTACCAGGCAATATAGCATGTAATTTAATCGACTATCCTCTTCGTGCACGCTTACTTTCCCCTATTTAAACTAATAGCTCTGTTTAAAATTATCATTCCTGATGGACTCCATTTTGCTTACAACTTATAGTCTCCTTAACTCCCCATAACTATCTTCAGCCATCTTTGCGGCGATCAGTAATTCGCTATAAAGTCGACGTACCATCTCTGGTCCGCCATTTTGGTATATAATGGACCTAGCAGGCAATATAATTTGTAATTTAACCATCCATTTTATGCTTTCCTATTTCCTCTTCAAGATCTATTAAAAAATATCACTATTAACGGACTTAATTTGACTCCTCCGCCATTTTGTTATACAACAGATTTGGGGGGCAATTCAATTTCTAATGTAATCCACTACCCTTTCTACGCCCCCTCATTTTCTCCGCAAAGTCTGTTAAAAACTTAATTTACAAGCCCCCTAACTCCCCAATACATTCTCTTCATCGTAGTAAAATTTTCCGCGACCAAAAAGGCACTCTTAATGCGCCATCTGTCTTTTTCCACCTCCATCTTGGCCCATCAGCAGACAGTACGATCCGTAATTTATTCGCCTATCCTCCTCGTGCATTCCCATTTTCCCTACTTAACTTAATAGGGCCGTTTAAAATTATCATTCTTAATAGACTTCATTTTGCTTGCAACTTAAACAGTCTCCTGGACTCCCCCATCTCGAAGCGTCTTTACGGCGATCGGCGATCCCCGATGTAACGTCTCTCGCGTCGCGAAAGGCAACGGATAATTTTGCAACACGAAATGTATCGCTGGGATACGTGTAATCGTCCCCGCGGACGGCAAAAAGTGAAAAAAAAAAAAGAAAGACGAAACGAAGGGCATAATCGTCCGATGGAACGTCCAGCTTTCACGCTTAACGTTTCACGGTCGTTTCAGGGAAGAACTTGACACGGGAACGCGATTCATACACGTAGACGCCGTTACCCGTCAATCGTTTCGCGTCCAGAACGCCCCCTCCGTCGCTTAATTATTTTCCCCGTGGAATTACTATAGCGTGCTTCGCGGATTATCTGGCGATCTCGAGCAACGGATAATCACGGTGCATCGCGGCTGATTGCACCGTGGCATCGCTGGAAACAGTCGATTCGACGCACTGTTTATACCTATCTCATTATATTTCTGTCGTGAAAATTATTACCCGCGATTGTCGCGTCTCCACGCGTCAGTCTGTCGAAGCGTTACAATGTACGGTGGAGTGGAGGTCGTAGATGACCAGTGACGCCGCCAGCTGGGAGTCGCTCGGACGCTGCGCGAGGCAGATGCGCGTGAAACCGTTCTACGAGAATCAACGACAGATTTCGATCTCCTGTAATCAAATATATTTCTGAATCTTTATGAATCCGCATTCCTGTTCGAGAAAAATTGTCGACAGCAATAACTGCGTTGAAAAATCCAATACGGTGTAGGTTTATCGATAACCGCAAGAGGGTCTCGCGTTTGCACAGGATGCTCGACAAAACATCGTATTATACCAACGCCAGTCTCATTTCACCGTAATAGGATTCCGTGCGCGGTTTCGTTGGCAAAAATCTCTCGGTTTCGACGCAAGAAACCGTACAATCTTATCAACCGTCTTTTCCACCGAGGCTTAATCCAAAACCCTCGAACAATAAATCGTCCTTTTGGTTGTCTGCTTCTGTCATTACACGAGTACCATTTTGTCGGATCGCGATCGAGTTCTCTCGTTCTCCGCGCTCTCGGTTTGCTCCTGTTTCGCCGCCTCCGGGACGTTCTTTCGTTCGCTCGCCGGGGATTTTTATCCGCCCGGGGAAATAATCTGCTACCGGGCGCCCTGTCGTTGTCATTATTGCGCCCCTCGCGGGATGAGGCATCGGCTCGTTGCAGAAAATAACTTTGTACCGGCGTCTCCCAACTTCGATGCCATTGATTCTCGAGATATCTTGTTCCCGCGTCGATGGTAATTCGCCGTAACACGCGACGACCATTCGGGGGAAATACACTAACGCGCAAAAGTTTGCCTACGCCAGTTCTTATTGTTACAATGGCTTCCAATGTCGTCTCCAAATTTTTTTTTTTTTTTTTTTATTTTTATTGCGTAATACAATTAGGCTATATACCTACATTGAGATTATCTGAATACACATATCGATAACAAATTATAAATTACAGAAAATCAGCAACTGATTTAGATTAAATATATATATATACAATTCTTCTCTAGGAATTTGAAAATAACCATTAGCGAGGAGATACTTGGTTGAAAAAGAAATGTGTTAACCGTGTAAGGGGGGGAAAAATTTAATGAACATAGTTTTTTGGCGATCAAAAATTTTGACCAAACTTACGGGACCAATCTTTCTTTATAATCTACGGAGTCCCCCTTATTGCCAAGTCTGCTATTCCGTTTTAGTGTACGATAAATTGAACGTGGATATTACGATAAGAATATGGTACTTCAGGTGTCTCTGGTCGTGATAGTGTTATAGCTTGGTATTTTAGTGCGTATCGTTATTGCAACGCTGTAGAGAGGAAGAGGAGATATTGTGGAGTCGATTGAGAAATGCATATATAGTAACGGAGGGGTGGGTCGAGCGCTTGCGAGAAAGACAAGAGCAGCGTAGCGCTCTGGTGGCGAGTGCGGGAGGCGACGCCACAGTATCGTACTGTCACACCGTAAGCCCCCATAGAAGTGTTACTCATATCGATAAAATTAGTCATAACTGATACACCAAGTAGATGACGAACTTTTGTTGACTCCTTTAACACTTTCGCTGCCAGATCAAAACCGACTAATATTCTGGAAAAGTAAAATTTTGATTTCAGACCATTATAATCTACATAACCTAAAATTTGTTTCGACTCTTATTTTCGTAATCCTGTTAAAATTCACAAATTCTATCCAAATTTATTTCCCCCAATTTCTTAACTTGAGAATCAATTTTTCTAGTGATTTAGTGTTCAGTCTCCGAATAAACCTCAGAGTATATTCTGATATCTTTATCCGAGTGCTCGAACCATTCCCAATCAAAATCGTCCTAACATTGTGACGCTGCAACTATTTGGACGAGTCTCCGTAGCTTACGGCATAACAGTACGAGAAAAGTCGCGAGGAGGATGTCAGAGCCATCTGTTCGGGAGTTTGCGTAAACCTAATCGTGTCGTGGAAATGTCCGAGCAGGGATGATGGCCGGGATTAGCTGTACGGAGGTGGATAGGGAACGTAGCGTCTCCGAGCGCGGTTGAGGCACTATTACTTATGCAGTCTACGTTACCCGGCTTGCATTGCTGCACGACTGCTTGCTTACCCTACGTAACGTGTACTTTATTCTTTCCAGATGCGCTCGCGCCGATAGCTACTGGCGATTCGCTCGTTTAACAGCGTAACGGCGAGCCAGCAGGAATCAGGGCCGGTGAGTGGCATCGTGGAAGGAGAACACAGTGCACCGGGGGAACAGAGAGAGAGAGAGGAAGATAAAAACGTGCCTGGACCCCAGAAGGGTGCTAGAAAGTGGGTACAGTCAACGAGGAGAATATAGAAAACGAGCGTTGCTACTTTTTTTATTTTTTTTTTTCTTCTTTTCAGTTTTATCGTGTTCGCGGACCCTGTTCTCGATTTGTATCCAGATTTTAATCCTGAACGATTCTGGGAACGATCGGAAGAGTGGATATGATAATTTAGATTTAGCGGAACGTGGTGGAATCTTACAGATTTTAATATAAGTGGTGGATGCTAGAATGTGCACGGAAAAGGAGAACTTTGTAGGTTATGTGCGTTCACGGGTAGCCGTATTAGCAACCTGGCGAGTGATATTTTGAGATGAGTTCGTCTTTATTGTGAGTGGAATGATGCAACCCGGTTCAGACTTCGGACTCGTATCGATACGCGTTAGGTTAGGTTTGCAATCCTGCGGGAGTAATTAGATAAGCATAACCTTGAATGTTCTTGCTCTTTTATGAACTGAGAGCTCGTAAGGAGAGTTAAGAATTAAACGAATCCGCGATTTTCCATAATACCTTCGCGAAATGTTCGGAATGGAACAGGTGCAGTAATTACATATGCAATTTACATTCAACGAACGATTTACCGTACAACCCTGCGAGAAACTAATTCACCCTTCTGTTTAATTCCCATGAATCATTCGACGAGGCTATAAGCGTACAAAACGCACGGTAGCTCCTGTGTTTCTTCCATGCCCGTCCGCCAGAGGTCTCCGGAAACCCGATCCTCTAATTATTTCGAGCAGTGGTATAATAGATGCGTAATTGGAAGCGCAGTGCTCGTAGTTGTTCGGCTGAAAAATCGCGGGTTTTTCGTTGGACGGTTCGCCGGGTGATTTAATGAAGTGGAAACGAAAGAAGCACGAGTGTCATAATAAAGGAAGACGGGATCAGGAATAGAAGGGGGGGACAAAAACATGTCCAGGTCCTACGGAGGTGCTAGGCGGCGAGTACAGTCGCGAAAGAGAATATAATCTCCGATCGCCATACTCTGCCCGGCGGCAGTCGTCTGACAAACGGAAGCTGTTAGGTCCTTTCGCGAACGCTTGTCTTTCAGGCGTGTCGTCCTGGCAAAAAACTGGAAAATGCTAACGCCGGTGGCTGTCGTGTGACCTGCTGGCGGGGCACGCCTTTTTTAGAAATTATTTCCCCATACACTGCATAACAATGGCACGAAGGTAAAAACGCAGGAATTATTTTGTAATTTCAAAGTTTGGTGAAATCAACTATGATTTCAAAGATTTTTTCCCTTTTTTTTTGAGAGATCGTAGTTTTTGTAATTGGGAGGTTTTATGAAAATTTGTTAAAATTTCTATTATAATTTGTAGATTTTTTCTTCCTCCCTTAAGATTTGAATTGTCAAGGTTCGACCGTAGTTTTTGTAGCTGGAAGAATCTTATCCACCCTCTTTAACTGTCCTGTCGAGTCTTCTCTAAGTACTCTTTTTCAAAGAGTTCCCTAATTAATTTGAAGATTTCTTCCCTTCCCTTGAAATTCGAATTACCAAAGGTTTGACCATAGTTTCTGTGAAATATTGTGAAAGAGATGGAAAGGGAAAGGAAAGGGGAGCATTTTGCCCCGTCCCTGCTTTAAATGCTGGGACAACTGAGTGCTCAGTCGGGGAGCGTATATATACCAATGGAAGGACGGTCGAGCGCTTGCGAGAAAGTCAAGAGCGTGGCCCTCTGGTGGCGAGTGCAGGAAACCATAGACCCCCACTTTTCCCAGTCGAGCCTCGTTTAATAGAAAATTTGACAAAATAATTTGTTAATAAAAAATAAATAACAATGTTTAACAAGGTTGAGCATCGAAGATATGTTAATTGAAAGCGCAAAGACGAAATGCGCCGGAGCACGCGTCGTTCGAGGATCGAAACGCGCGAACAGAAGCGAAAAACGAAATACGAGTCGTTCGAAAGCAATAAAAACGTTAATGAACGGCGCGAAGTGGGTGCGTCAATGAATATGTAAAGGAGATCGTCGGAAATTCAAAGCGCGGGCTCATTATTTCCTATCTCGGTCCGCGATCTTCGTCGTTACCGTTGATCGAAGGAGTTCCGGCTAAATGCTTGTTCAGATTACGTTTATTGAAATAATCGATCGCACTCCATATTATGCAAATGCACGCTTCACCCGTCGCCCCGTTAGCATCGATATAAATCGACGCCCGTGAGCACCGCTCGATCCCGACTTGTAATTTGTCCGCTATCCTTTGGCTGCCTCCATTTTTGATCCTTCGAGCGATCCTGGGATCCTGGATATTGCTACTTTTTCCCTCCACGATTCCATCGATACGTTTTCAAAAACTCAGTCGATCAAAATCAACCTCAACTTTGCCCCAACATTTACAATTTCCACATTTTTTAATTTTTTTTTTAATAATAATATAAACTTACAAATTTTTTGAAGTTTGCACGTTTTTAAAAATAATTTATTTACTTTTAACATAAAACTTGCGAACCCATGTTTATCGAGAAATTTATCAAAATATTCCAACGATCGAGAACAACGTGAATCGATTGTAATTTATCGTTCGAGTGTTGATTTAAGATCTCCCCTTCCCTGGAACGACCACTTTCTTTGTAAACCGCGACACGGTGCAGTTTTCGATGAGTTACGGACTTCCCCGACGCAGTGACACACAATCGCAAATCCAAAGGGATGCAGAGGTTAAGAAGAAGGGGAGAGGATTGAAGGAAAAAAAGACGGGCGTCGTGGGGGCCAAGACGAGAAAATAAATAGCGTGTATCGCGAGAGGGCGGATGTCGACGGGGACGAAAGTGGGCGGATATAACCATAGAGCACGTGGCGCGCGCATCGGTTCACCATAAAGATCGAGATTTACCGCGATCGATGCGCTTAAACCGTGCCTCGTCCCTTGCGCCATAAATTGACAAAGTATCCCCTCGCGAATCGCCTCGAAACATTGAAAATCCGTCGTTTCTTCCTTGCAACTTTCTTGCAAGACAGGTTACCTCCAAACATCGCCGCCATCTTGGATGCACGGGACTTGAATCGAAGACAAATCAACGGTATACTACTTGAATCATCTACATTACAATTATATTAAATTTCACGTTAAATCACGACGAATATTGAACGTTAAGAATTTTTAAAAAGGATAAAAAAAATTACAAACGCCATTTGTTGCAGGAACCTAAACTAAATCACCAAAAGAGAAGATGCAGAACGATTAACCTCTTCTTGAATCATCTACATTACAATTATATTAAATTTCACGTTAAATCACGACGAATATTGAACGTTAAGAATTTTTAAAAAGGATAAAAAAAATTACAAACGCCATTTGTTGCAGGACCCTAAACTAAATCACCAAAAGAAAAGATGCAGAACGATTAACCTCTTATCGTAATTTTCGGTAGGGTCGGTTGCCAAAATAAGAAGCACTCGAGTTTGTTTCGTGGTGGGGGACACATTAGAATGATTAAGGCGGGGCTTTGACTATCGTTGACACGCGTGTAAAACCGGTTATCTGCGCCCACGGTGCATTATTTCGCTCTCAACGCCGGTGTTTCGCGATAACGAACCGATCCCTCTCCCGACTAAATAGTCCTCGCCGTCGGTGGAAATTAAACCGAACTGGGAAGCAATGGCACGCGAGGCGAGCGGAAGAGAGAGACCTAACCTGACCCGTAAGGTTGGACCGAGGCACGCCGGGCTAGGCCAGTCGTAAATCGTTCGATCAAACGACCGAGATGAGTCGTAAAGCCTCGCCGCTTCGGTAGCGGTTTCGGATTAAATATAACTTTTTACGATCGTCGGCTACCAGTCGCTGAAATCGTTCGGTAAAATACGATGCTGTTCGATCTTTCTTTTACCGATACTCTCGCCACACCCACGCGATACTTCGAGATTCGAGTGCGCGAGACAAATTGGTCCCATCATAACCTGTAACATCGACCAGACGTCATTTGTCGGACGAAACGTAACAGGTTTAATGCCTGGAATTGATTTAGTCCCCGAGCTACATCCATTCATTTTAACTCATAAATGGACCGACAATTGATAAATCGATTTTGGTACGAAATGGTAAAAACGTTAAAAACGTAGTTTGATCGTATCGCGAGTGGTAATTCCCTCGAAGCCCAAATCGTTTTCATCGTGCTCGAGCCAGGGACGGCTCCTCGCCGCGGTCTGTCCGCTAATGCACAACTTTATTAATATTATTTATACCCGGGTACTTAACGTCAGCCTCTCGGGCGCATCAGCGTTGCAATAAATACACCGCGTCTCGGATATAAAGAGCATTACCCCGCGGGGGGAAAAAGAGAAAAGCCTACCTAGGAGCGGCGCATAACTTCTTACCCGTTGTAATTCAGCATTTATTCCCCCCGCTAGGCGGCGCGCCGGCGAGGATAGTTAAATCATCGCGAGACGCTCGCATCGATCAACGGGTGTAGCTTGTTACCGTCTCGCCGTGAAACTGTTTGTATCTGTCTATCTCGGCAATAAAGAATCTTATCCGTTCGTTCATCTGCCTTCCTACTTTGTAGGTACTACAAGTAGCATTTCTCCGTGACTTAAATACCTCCATTCCCCTAAAACACCCGACCTGCCTGCGGGATCCCGCTGCGCCTTTGTGAGCCCACAGATTCCGATCTCCTTTTATCGTATCCCCCCCCTCCACCCGGTTAGACTCGGATAAGTAGACTCGACCGGCGTAAAGATGCTGATAAATCTCTTAATGTATCTCCCGTATCGCGAATCGGAAGCTGAGATTCGTTGGACGATTCGATCGGTACTTACTAGTCAACGTTTCACGTCCCAGAACGATACATTAGCTTATTACACGGCTGACAACTGCTGGCGTACTCCGCCAACCTATAAAGGGTTCCCCTAAGCGACGTTCGAAACTATAAACCGTAAGTAATGCCATTAATCGTTACACTGTCACGCGTTACGTAATTCGTGCCACATCAGATCTCGAATCTTAATTTCGTTAGCTTCGGCAACAGTGCACACGAAAAACATAACCTATATTTGCGTCGACGAAACGGCTAGGATGTCGATTCGACCACGTTTCGACGAGGCGTTAATTTCGATAGCTTTGGTAACACTGTACACGAGAAACATAACCTATATTCGTATCTCAAAGAGTATATCATCGAAAGATACTTTAGTATCGAGACTCTTATCGCGTTAAGTTATTAAATTACATCGGAGAAATCTGTTGGACAGGTTAAATGGCGGTCTTGGATAACCTTGAACAGCTAGGATATTGATTCGACCACGATTCGACGAGGCATGCGTCACTGTTTTCACAAGACGAGTGTATATTTCGAGGAGGCTTTAAGAAGCTTCCGCCATTACCGTTTCACTCGAGTCGACGTGCACGTTTCGAATTCCGGCGTCTTTGTTTACGCATCGAGCACTCCGCTGGAGAAAGTACACTCGAGACGATACGAAGCACTTTTTCCATAAACCATAACGCGAGAAACACTCTATTTCGAGCCCGAAAACTACCCCCTCTAACCTCGTTCGTTTTCCATCGAACGCAAAACGGAAAGATTCGATCGGACTCCGGTAGACTTTCTCCGCGGAGGCAGCGAAAAATGGCGGAATCCAGAAGCTCCCGTTCCGGGAACAGGCCTAGAACACTCGGGGTAGCGAATTAATCGCGTGTCGGACTATCGATTAACTAATTCTATTACCGTCCATCAAACCGATATTTATGAAGATTAATCGGACAGAGAGCGGTACCGTTAACCACGTTCGCATCGAGCGTGGATTACAGCTCGATCCACAACCGCGTGGATCGCCGTGAAAGGATCGCTCGTAACGCGTTACGCTCGTACGTAATACGCGCAGCTGTTTCCGGATGCGATCGGTCTCGTTGCCGGAAGTATCCCTCGTACATTTTTACGAGCACGATTTATGCGCGTCTCGTAACATTCGCAACACCCAGCTGGCGTTCAGAGGTCGAAACAAGAGATTATTTTCAATAATTGAACCATTCAAACCGAGATCAGAGTTGGGGGAAAAAATATAATCTTTGGACAGGATACGTTCCAAATAAATTCCTAATAATATTTGTTTTTTAAAATCCTCCGTAAAACTTAATTTCCATGTCGCTACGAAATCCCTAGTTACAGATCTAATGTCCCTAGCCGATGTGAACGCGACTTGCCCTCAGCCTCCGTCGCGTAATGTCC